CTTGAGACACTGTCTCTCACTGTTCTGGGGCTTGCTGAGTAGGCTAGGTTGAATGGCCTGCAAGTCCCAGAGATCTTTCTGCCTCCACCTCCTGAGCAATAAGCTCACAAAAGCATGTGGGCTCTGGAGATGCAGCTCAGGTCCTTCTTCTATCCCTATGACTCCAGTAGATTTTTCTTGTTGTTGTTGTTGTTGTCTTTGGATTTTTTTTTTTTTAGTATTACATCCCTTCTTGTTTTATTATCTTCCTCTCTTTTCAAAATAAAGTGGGCACTTGTGGATACTCAGAAAACTTTTGGTCTTATACACCAACCATCTTTTTTGATTTATCTGAATTTTAAGCAAAGTGGAAGAGATACGAATATTGTTAATCATACTGTTTTATGCAACAAGCGTTGGCTACAGTAAAATTTTCTTGGCTGGCAATGTGAAACTGTATTAGTAGGCTACAGAAACAGCACAATTATTAGCCCTTCTCAGAGGCTATGCAATAGAACATTGATAATTAATAAGATGTTCAACCCAAATTTTTAAATTGGTTTCCCAAATGATCTGGATACCAACACGATGAAGCATTTATTTCATTTGTAAGTAGAATCTTTAAGTACTATTCTTGCAGTTTTAAAACATTATCGGATACAAGATTTAAGTGGAACTCAGTAGGCATTGGAAGAATAGTTACGTCTGGGGCTAAAGAGATAGCTCAGTGCTTAAGAGCATTGGCTGTCCTTGCAGAAGACCTGGGTTGAATTTCTAGTACCCACATGGTGGCTAACAATCATCCTTAGCTACAGTTCCAGGGGAGTCCAACACCCTCTTCTGACCTCTGTTTCCATTGTAAGACACAGGTGCACTTACACACATGCAGGCAATACACTCATACACATGAAATAATAAATATTTAAAAAAAATAGTTGAAACCAAGTCAATGTTAAAGTTGAGATTTATTTTCAGATTAATGATTATTAAAGGAGAAAACATTCAGGATAAGTATATGTGCCCATATGGCGACTAAATAAAAAACAATGAGCAGATAAGTACATCTCACTCATCTCACTTGTAACGCAGTCTCCATTTTGAAAACAGTTTCTTTTTTAATCTTGGCCATTTGATTTTTTTTCTTCTTGTTTTACAGATTTTTAAATTTTCTTTAGATAGATTTTCAAGACTAGCAATGAACTCAGTATGAGGCCAAAGAAGACCTTGAAATTCAGTTTCTTCCACCTGTACTCCCTGCATGCTATGAAGACAGGTATGCACCACCCCATCTGGTTTATATGGTGCTGAAGATTTAATCCCAGATTTTTTTCAGGTTATGTAAGAACTCTGCCAACTGGGCTATAACTTTAGGCAAGTTTTTTTTAAAGCATCATCAGGAAATAAAGTTATGCATTTGAGACATATTTAAATTACTTAGCATAGTACTGCTATTGCTTTTTGAGTTTAAAATGAGTGACAGTTTTCTTTTGAGACAGGGTATCCTGTAGTCAGGCTATCTCTGAATCTGCTACATAGTAGAAGAGCATAATCCTAAACTCTTAATCATCCTGTCTCCACTGCTCAAGACCTGGCATCACAGGTGTGCATGCCCATGTCTAGCATGAATTGATGTCTTAAAACTAAAAGTATGAAGTTATCTGTAGAGAGAGTGAAGACATTTCACAACTGACTGAAATCAGACACAAGATAAATTCAGTGTGTGGATTAGAATCACCAAAAGAATAATCATTTTTTTTTCTTAATGTTAACAATAGAATTCTTACTTTATTCACTAAATATTCTTGTTGTACACTATAATACAATATAAAATACGTTTTTGTGATAAGGTCTCTTGCAAGCCAGGATAGCTGCCAGTTTGCTATGCAGCAAATGATGGTTTTGAACACGTGGTTCTCTTCTGCCTCTCTCTCCCAAGTGCTAGGGTCACAGGTGTGCCCCTACACACACACACACACCTAGTTTTAAAAAGCGCTTATTTTTCTGTGAAATATTTATATTAACATTTATTTAACATCCATCTAACTATGCAATCAAACCCAGAGTTCTTTGGTTTGAAAACACTTAGAGGATCCAGATAACTTTAAAGTCTTGTTTAGCGTTGTGGTACTATTTTCATATAAATGATTAAGAGTGGGTTTTTATATCTTGTATAACTTTGCAGGAGACTGTTTTAAAGCTCATTCTATGGAGGTATATATTTCCTTAAATCTTTGAAGTTAATACTTTTATACAATAGTTTTGGCTTATTTGAGACAGGGTCTCACTTTGTAGACCAAGCTGGTCTTAAACTTGAAGGGATCATTCTGCCTTTGCCTCACCAGTAATGGGATCACAAGTAAGCACCATCACAACTGGCTCAACTCTACATTGAATAACTTACTACAGTGTTAAAACAACCAAAAAACAAAAATAGACATTTCTGATTCAAAAATGTGGGAATATCATAAAACAATATTATGAATTCTATTATTATATATAATTAATATATGCTAAGAAAATATTTCTTAAAAACCACTAAACAGCAGTCTAAGTTTTCTTAACAGAGGAGAAAAATGATCCCACCTACTTTATCGAGTTGTGTGCGCTATTATTTCATTGCACAGTATAACAATTGGTTTCCATAATGAAAACCCATGTCAAGAAGTTAACATTTTAATTATTTTCCATGTTCTCTATTGAAGAAATGTGCAAAACTATATACGTAAGAAATATTACCACCTGAACTGTTGAAGATAAATAAAATTCATTGCTTGAAAGTTTTCACAATTAAACTTTACCCAAAGTTGCTCAATTATAAGATCAAAGTTTACCAATGCTTATCAAATACAAACATTTCCCCATGTAAATGCCTCCATAGTCCAAAAGGACAAGAAAAGCAGGTCAGACAAAAATGGTGTGATGAGAATCGGGGTTGATGATGTAGCAAATGGACACCACATAAGAAAAAGATAAATGAAAGGTAAGGTACCTGAGTCACCAATATTTGGCGACCAAAGAGTTCTTTCTTAAAAAGAATCTCGGGGAGCTACAGGGAGACCCTGTCTCAAAAAGACCAAAGAAAAAGACTCTCTTCTATCTTTTTTTTTTTCTGTTCAACAGCTTTTAATATGCTCAAAATTCTACAACAGTCACCACAATTTAACTTCAGAACATTTTAAAATTAATTTTAGGTTGATATACAAAACAATGGGTTTCATCATGACATCTTCATACTTATGTATTCTAAATTTCTTTTTCCTTCTTCTACATCTCATTCTTTGTTTTCCTGTTCCTTTATCCTATTATTTTTTCTTCAATGTTTTAACCTTTTAAGTTCTCTTTACATTAGGATCAAATATTTAGTATAATGAAACGTAAGTTCTTTTGAGACAAAACACAACAATAATATATTTAAAATAATAAAGATATCTTTCAAGTGGAACACATAAACCTAGCAAGATGGGATGGAGGTAGATTTACAACTCTACAAACAGCTCTCCTGAACTCTCCTCTGAGTGGAAGCAATATAAATAGTGTTGGGATTTAAGTTAGAAACAGTGAATTTGTGTACAATTGATGTTTTCCTGGAATGAAGAAAATGAATTTGCTTTACACAATTTCTTGTATCTTGTATCTCTAATATTATACTCAGAATCCTACCTTCTAGGAATTTATATGTGCCATTCTCATTTGTTTTAAATTTTCACACCATGTTCAGAATAAGTATAAATATCTGTATTTCTAACATCTCAATATTCAAACACAAGTATGTTATAAGAGGAAGATTGAAATAACAAATTCAAAATACGATATATGATTCTGGTACAGCTGCCTGGGAAGGCTATTCACTATCAGGTAGTGGTAAAACAAGAGGGAAAAAAAATTGTAGTGGGAAAAAAGTTTAAGTGTATAAACTGCAACGTCATCAACTTGAAATATTTTGTTACTTTTACTAATGCAACTAAACATTTTATTTAGTATTCAATAAAGTTAATTTTAAATAGTGCATATGGACCTACCAATAGGAGGTGTTACTTACACAAATGAGTACAAGAATTGATCTCAGCAAGTAAGAAACAGATATCCTGAATAATTTTCCTTAGAATTTTTGGCATGGTTTCCTATTTGAGGGGAATATATTCATTAATCTTTAAGAAACACTTTGGAAAGAATTCTGTTTATCAAAATATTTTTATTTTGGGGATTTTCAAGGGTACCACTGAACAGAAAAGTAAATGTAAACAGGTAGAACCTTTCTCGTTTCCAAATTAGCGTAATGAATGCCATGAATGGGAAAGTTGATGATCTTTGACTTGCTCAATTTTCATGCTCAAAGGATTTGTAGAATGTTTAAATAAACATGAAAGAACCAATACATCCAATAAAATCTGTCACTAGTTCTGTTGGATTTACCTCTTGCCTCCTCTCTATTACCTTCTCAGAGCCTTTCAGGAATGTGCAGCAGCTCTGATTTTTCACAGCTGAAAAAGAATGGTTGCAATAATGTTCCCCCTTGGGATTCCCTCTCTCTTACTTGCTAGACATTAAAATGCATACATTTTACTTAGAAAAGATATTCATAAAATGGATAAAATATTTCTAAAAGGAGAAAAATATTAAAATCCTACATGTCTGAGGAAAAATTATAAATGCAACAAGCTACGTGCATATAACTGCTTCTGAAAATTTTTGTTCCACTATCATTATGGAGGCTGCATCTAGATTAAATGAGGTTTTCAACAAAGCATAACAACTAATTTTACAAGTATCTACTAGTTCAAAGAACGTGGTTATTTAAAAGAAATGTGCATACTGCAACAGTTTCAGTGCTTTCAAAGTATTTATAGAGAAATAATACACTAAATGGTTATCTCTATTTATTAGAAATCATATTTCTACACCAGGGAAATGAAGCTGTTTATGAAGTTAGGACTTCATACCCTGGATAGTTTCTCTTATATTAAGCAGATATCACTTGCAATAAAGAGCTATAAATTTAAGTGTAAGACCTCAATACTTACCCTGACTACACTGAAGTCCAGCTTAGTCTCTTGTGCACACTGTAATATGAGCTGAAAGCAATTTTTACTTTGATTTGTCATTCCATTTTCATAATAACGCTGTAAAATCCTTTGTTGTTCTACAGTAAATACAGAACGCAGATTCATCTAAAAATAAAAGAAGATACTCTGAAAATTGGAATTAAAATTTTCTACCTGTAGTATTTGTACACTTTTGTTTCTTTGATACAATTTCAGTGTTATCAAGCTGCACAATTTATTTAAATGCATTAATCTTGAGTAATGGGCAATAATTTGTGTGCTAAAGGGAGACAGCTCCTGACTGTAAAATATATATAATACAAACACTTACTGAATTTGTTCAGACAAGCACCAGCTTCAAAGACAAAAACGTAGCAAACGAAAAGGAAAAGAAAAAAGAGGCAAGCTCTTATCTGGTTAGTGTCAATACATGAGGAAAAAGGGTTTCCACTCAAATAAATATTTATGGCAAGTAAAGCCAGAGATGGTGTTTGCCATACGCAGTCAATTATCAACAGGAACACTCGCTGTTCTTTGTCAAGAAAAGCATCTGGCATATGTCTTAACAGTCAGAAGCAGTGCTCTGAAACAAAGGGCGCTTTTATTTGTTCTCATTCTGGGATGAAAGAGTTCTTATTATGTATTTAAACAAAAAATCTCTTCTTTTATTTTTTGCTATTTGTTCTGTTTTTGTTTTTGTTTTTGTTTTTGTTTTGGAGATGGGTTCTCACATAGCCCAGGATGGCCTCTAACTCCTTCTCCTCTTGAATCTACCTCCCAAATGCTGGAATTACAAGTGCTCAGAAAGACCCAGTTCAGCGAAATGTTTTTTTAAATATTAGAAACAAATAGAAAGGGTTAGTAACCATGAAAATGTCTTTGCTTTATGCAATATTAACAAAAATATTTTCAATAATTACTGTAACTAAATGAAAGTTCAAAGTCAGTACAACTTACTGAAACCATATAGGAACTATGCCTTTCAACACTACATCCACATCATCAAAATTATGCAAGTAACAAAAGTTTATTTTTCATGCCAGTTAAATAAGGTGTTTAATATCAAGGGCAAAGAACACTGTGTATCTCACAAATAGTGACATGTCTAACTCCATTTTTAAAAAGATGAATTATAGTAATGTATTTTTATGAAGAACAGTTGTAATTTGATTAAGGAAATTTCAGGTTTTTGTTAAAAATCTGTCACATAGACAGTCTTTCCCAAAGAAAGTGCTTCTTTGAGATTAGGATAATAGCCATAAGTAAGTCAAACTAACAAATTTTTCTAGTATTCCATTCAATGAAAGAATCCAGTACATCAATATGGAAATAAAAATAAACATCCCCAACTCTGAATACTTATAACGGTAAGTCCATTTAATAAAAACGACTCATATTGATATGGACTGCTGCAATTTGTATGCTCGACTTTCTTCTTTGCTCACCAGCCCTTCGTTAACTGTTAAGATAGTTAATTTGAGAAAATAAAACATGGGAGTAAGCAAGAAACATTCACTAACAAAGACCTCCATTGAATTTCTGAAGGACTATTCTGAAGGAGGTTCAGTAATATGGATGTCAACCTGACCTTATTATATTCAAGTATATTTGCAACAGTAGGTAGGGATAGCATCCATCAAAGCAATTTTTACTATCATGCCTGCCAGCTTTCAGAACTTACCTTAAATGATTCAGCCACAATCTGAAGAAAATCCAGAAGACAAAAGTCAAATACATAAAATACCTTTTCTGATAAGGGTTTAGAAGCAAGGCGCCCTGGGACAGATTCTGAGGGCGGCAAACTTCAACTTATGAATGGGTAATTAGGGTAATGGCTTTGATTCTTTCTTGCATGGCTGTACATATTGCAAAAAGCCTATAGTACAAGATGCAGGTCACAAGTGTGAGGATACCTCCCACTTATAGGATGGACTATTTTCCTGTTGGCTGGCTGCAACCATTACACTTACAAAATACAACAGATCTTCCCCACTGATAACAAATGGTGAAACGCAAGTGCCTGAGCACAACAGAAAGTGCTAAGAACTTTTTACTTTTCCCTTTGAATTCAGTACAAACATCAAAGACATTTTGCTCAGGAGAGCTAATATTTCTCTTCAAGTTACATGAATACATTCTTTACCATAACAACGAGATAACACCATTTGAGCAAGATGTCATTATTTCTACCCAAGATAGCTATCTTTGTCCACATTAAATGACTACACAGCCAACTTTGTAAAACTTTGGCAAAGCAAAAATAACAGAAATAATAAAAGATAGACCTTTGCAAAAAATGTTCACTTATTTATTTATGTATCAGCTAAAATGCTATGGTATTGGTTCCATGGGTTGCATTAACGTGGAAAGGGGGGCTGAATTGGGCAATAATTACAGAAATCAAGATCTCCTGTTCTAATATTCTATTCACCTTCCACTCAATCAGTATGTGCCAGACCATGGGAATAAGACCATCTGTGTGCTACCTCAGCTGCACTGCCTGCTATTCACCAAATCACTTCATTTCCTTGAGCATCCTTTTTCTATTCTGTAAAATGCTGGGTTGCATAATTTGGATTGCCTAACAATTTCAGTTGTTACTAAATAAACAAATATGTCTTCTTTTTTTTCTCAAATTCTCAAGCATATAACGTTTATATTGTTCATATAGAAAGGTTCTTAAAATGATTATTTTCAGGGACCGAATTTCTAAGGCCTTTTTATGTTTAGGAGTCAATGTTTTAACAAGAACACCTAACCACTGAGAAAATATAGATTATTCTTAATATATTCTATTCAAGAAAACAGGACAATGACTAAATATTTTACATGTGTTGCTTTAGAATTACTTCAAGCACACAACTTTTAAGAATGACTGCTTCCTTAGCTGTATCAGATGCCCAAGGTTACGTATTCATGTGGAAATATTTCTGATAAATTCTAACCTCATATTGCCCTTACATATTTGATCCTATATCTAAATCTGGATCAATGATTTAATAATGTTCTCACTGGTTAAATTATGTGAACATTTACACACAAATATTTAGTCATTGAAAACTTGATTTTACAGATAGGATGATCCATAAATCCACCACTAATTTAGATATAACACATTTTCCCCAATATTAAAATTTTGAATTTTAGGTCAGCCATTGGTGTTTTTGCTTACATAGTATGGAACTGAGATTAATATACCAGCACATATATCTTTCTTTATTTTGACCAATATGTCTGTACTAATATTATCCTTTTTATAGTTAATAGCATTCAATTTTAAATTTATATCCGATAAAACTCACTGTTTAGAGTATGGTTTTATTAACTTAAATGTATATAGTTATAAACCTACACAGGACTGGAGAGATGGCTCAACAGTTAAGAACACTCTTCCAGCGGACCCAGGTTCGATTCTCAGCACCCAGATGGTGGCTAGCAACAACCACCCATAACTCCAGTTCCAGGGGATCCGACACCCTCCTCTAGCCTCTGAGAGCATTGCATACACATAGTACACCTGCATGCATGCAAGCAAAACACTCATACACATAAAATAATAAATAAAATATTTTAAAAACCCTACCACAACACTGAAGACATAAAATGGTTCCAGAAATCTCAAACATTTCCTTTTTATTGCCTCTTTTGAATCAAACCGTCTAGCCACATAAGCTGATGAAAACCATTGATCTATTCAAGGTAATTTTGACATTTAAAGAATTTCATTTAAATGGAATCATGCAGTATGGTCTACTGGTCTTAGTTTTTTTAGTTTAACATATTGCTTTTCAGATTAATTTATGTTATTGTGTTATCAATAGTTTGCTCCTTTTAATTTCTGAGTAGTATTCCACTGTGTGAATGCATCTTTCTTAAGCCATTCGTCCACTGATGGACATCTGGTTTCTTCCAAATTCCTGGTCATATGGGTAAAGTAATTAAGAAAATATATGTACAACTTTAAATGTACAAGTGTTTGTTTGCTCTTGAATAAATATGCAGGAATGGGTTTGCTGGATCATATAGTAAGTGTATATTAAACTTTCTAAATTATCTGCTTTCCAGTGCAATCACCCATTTTCAGTGAAAGGTTAGAATTCTTCATTTCCTTGCCTGCATTTGTTACTGTCAGATTATTAAAAATGTGGTCATCCCGGTACGTGTGTGATTGTGCTATTGTGACTCCACTTAGAATTTTCCTAGTGGCTAAAGATGTTGAACATCTGCTCATATATTCGTCTACCATCCACATGTTTTCTTTGTGGAAGTGTCTCATTGAAATATTTTCCATGTATTTTTAATTAGGTACTTAGTAACACATCATTGAATTTTGTCTGTTCATTATATATTCTTGATTGCAGATCTTTTATCAGATGTATTATGTCAAAGGCTTTCTCCCTATATGTGATTTATGGCTATTTTATTAAAAATATATTTCACAAGACAGAGGTTTTAAATTTTGATGATGTCTGTTTATGTTGTCCTTTTCCATGGACTGTGCTTTTCATATGAATTGTGCTTAAATCCTATACCTTCTGTGAATTTTGAAATGAAGTCTGGAATCCTTCTGTGATTGTTACTGAGATTATACTGAAAAATCAGTTTAGGGAAATTTGTCATGTTAGCAATATTATGTCTCCTACTTCATTAATGTATTTATTTATGTGTTTATTTGTGGTTTTTCCAATGAATTTTCTGTCAAATTTATTCAAGCGTATTTCTTGTTTGGGGGTAGGGTATTATTATAAATTTTATTTATTTACTAAAATGTTTTTATTTTTACTTTATGTGTATGCCTACCATGTACATATGTGCACCACATGCATGTCTAGTGAATAAGGAGAGGGTCGCAGATTCTCTGGAACTTAAGCTAGAGATGGTTGTGACCTACTAGGTATGTCTTTGGCCCTGAGCCCGGATCTTCTCCAAGAGCAATAAGTGTTCTTAACTACTGAGATGTTTCTCCAGTTCTATTTATTTATATTTAAATCCACAATTGTTCATTGCTATTTTATCAACACACAGTTGTTTTGGTATAGTGACTTTGTATTCTGCACCTTGCACAGCTCACATACTGTTTGCAGAGGTTTTTGTATTGATTGCTTGATATTTTCTACAGTTATGTC